ATGAAGGGCGGGTCGGGTCGGGTCGGGTCGGGCCGAGATTTTTGGTTTAACCCGCAACCCGACCCAACCCGACCTGCCTTCAGCGCCCCAAACCCAAACCCAACGAAAAAAATGAAGAAATCAACCCAACCCGGTCGGTTTGGGTTGGGTCGGGCAAGTTGAGCGGGTCGGGCGGGGTTTTGCCCACCCCTACCTAAAGGTGCAATGTTTCTCATCTTTAATTTAGAGCTATACTCTATTAATAGCAATCTATGTCTTATAGGAAAGTTGCCTTGAATCGAGACGCATGAAAGTCATATGTAGAAAAATTTCCATCTAAAATTGATGTGGATCTATGATCGGCTGACATTTAGATTATCTTGTGTAACGTGATAGGAGAAATGTGGCATTGTTTTCGATTTCAAAGCTTATGATACATGTATTACGGTAGATATTGGGGCAAATTGCTACGACGGTCCCTAACTTTTGCAATTTTTGCAGACTTTGCTCTAACCTTCATTTTGTGCCAGCGACATTCCCTAACATTTCATAAATATGCAGTTGTAGTCCAAATGGATGGACAATTTAATCACTTGTTGATGAAGAAATTCAAAATTTGATCAATTTTGACCAAATTAAAAGGGACAAAATGGTACTTTACATTTTTCTCATATTAAATAAGTTAAAAAATCAAACTAAAAAACCCAAAAAATAAAAATAAATATATAACCCCACCCCACCCCACCCCACTCTCCCAAATCAAAATCTGATGAGATCTCTTCTTCTTCGACGAGACCTATCGAAAATCGTTGCCACTCTCACCTTCGACCCACACAGCTTCCACAACTCCCACTTACCACCACCCTCAATATGAAACCAGAAATCAAATTCGTCTCTATCAAACCTAGAAATCAAATCCCACCCCACCCAAAAATGGGATTTGAAATCCCAAAAGTTGCATCTATTGTTTGTCCTCCCCCCTCCCCTCTCCCTTTTGTTGAAATACCATCATCAGACTAGAGCCTAGATTGTGAGAGTCAATCGGTGATAATCCTCGACGGTGGGTGTGATCGGAGGATGAGTTGTTAGCAGTTTTTAAGTTCACGATTTGGGTATTTTGGGTGGTTATTCGTCGACATCTGGTGGAGTTAGGGTTGGTAGTTAGGTGGGATGTGTAGAGAGGAATGAGGTCTTTCCGATGATGTGTAGATCCGATAATTTAGGCGATGGTGCCAGCGATAGAGAGACTGATTTTTGCAGATTCGTTGATTTTGATTGTTTGTTTAGGTTCCGAGAATATGGTAACAGAAGTGGTGGTGGCTGTGGATTTGGTGGTAGCTTTTGGTTTGGGGGTGGGGCATGAATGGGTGTTGGGGAAGAATGGCCATGTCTGGGAGAACTTTTTCA